TTCTAACTCGGTTTTGGCTAATAATGATGAATCTATCACTGATTTCATCATTTGATTTGTAATTTGGGATGGAATTTGGGGGAAAATTTGTGGAGTTTCATAAAATGAACTTTTAGGGTTTGAATGTCGATTTGAAGTCGGAATTGAGTGAGACTAGTATGGGTAGTATCGTAATCGAGTGGGTTGTTGGATTTTGTGACTTGGGTCGGGTTTCGAGACGTGGGCTCGGGGCTCAATTTTTGAGTTAACCTTTTGACTTTTGGCCTAAAGCTTACTATTTTCTTATGGGATTGATTCCTTTAGCTCGTGTGGATTGTATTGAATTGTTAATGGCTAGATTCGGAGCATCAGGAGGTCTATTTGAGGCGCAAAGGCATCACGGAGTAGGATTTTGGCTTGGTTGAGGTAAGTAACGCTTTCAAACTTGGTTCTGAGGGTTCGAAACCCCGAACTTCGTGATATGTGATTAGTATTGAGGTGACGCACATGCCATGTGACGGGCGTTCGAGCGTGTACCGTGAGAATTGTGACCTGCTTCGTCCCATGGCACCGAATAGTGATTTTATCTTGTTGATATATGTGCTTCTTCATGTGATGAAGTAAATGGACTGGAAATCATGCTAGTTATCATGCTAGGGCTTTACGCCAATACTGTTGAGACCCGAGTGGTCGTTTCTTGCTGTCACTTCATTAGATTCATTGATATTCTGTACTCAGTATTATTCATGCATATCATATCATGTCTCGGTCTCGGTTGTATTATTTGACACATCATATCATTGTTTCGGGCTAGTTTCATGGCATTGTGAGCCCGTGTGTGTGAGACTGGAGTGTGATGACTGAGTGAGGCCGAGAGGCTGATTATGAGTGATAGTTATGGGATCGGGCTGCATGCCGCAATGGTTGTGTTGATGATTATGATAGCGCTTGGGTTGTAGGAGCCCCTCCGGAGTCTGTAGCACACCCCTAGTGAGCGCAGATGATATTTTGAGGGATGGATTTCCCTTGACATGGATTTGTCCGAAGTATTGATATCTGGAGATGGATTTCTCCACAGGGTTGGATTATCCTTTTCCTTGGTACCGAGTGACTTATAGTCAGCGATGAGTATGTTCTGGGATGGATTTCCCTGGGCTGGATGGCCATATGCGGTACCGAGTAGTTGAGTGTGTGTGTGCATATATATATATATATATATACACCTGGAGATGGATTCCACAGGGTTGGATTACCCTTGTTCCTCGGTGCTGGTTGACTTTCAGCCAGTGTTGTATATGTTCTGGGATGGATTTTCCTGGGCCGGATGGCCATATGCAGTACCGAGTGGTTGAGCACTTGAGAGTGGGAGCACATGCTGCATATCATACATTCTGTGCATTGGCATGTAGAGTTAGCTGAGTTTTATATAACACATTGTTCAGATCTGTACTGATTTTACTGCTTGAGATGTATTCTTTAACTGATAGCATGCCTACTTTTCCTGCACAATTTATTTATATTGCCTGTTGAGGTTACGTTCGCCACTACCTATCAGTCCATAGTTTGGACTTGTTACTTACTAAGTTGGTGTACTCACGTTACCCCTGTACCTTATGTGCAGATCCAGGTACTTTCGGTCCAGGTGGCAGTCATTGACCGAGGTTGCAGGCTTTGGAGATTGTTAAGGTATCTACATGGCGTTCGCAGGCATTGACCCTCCTTCTCTATTCTAGATGTGTTCGGTTGTATTCAGTAAACACTGTAGTAGACTATGCCATTTTCTCTAGACGCTCATGTACTCCGTGACACCCTGGTTTTGGGCTGGTTGGATCGTATTATGAATCTTGCTTTATGTTTTAAACAGTTTATTTCTATATGATAATAGTTTTCCGCTAATGTTTCCAATTTTAGTATTATGGGTTGGACTACGTTGAGTTGAGGCTGGCCTTGTTTCACGATAGGCGCCATCATAACGGGTTGAGTTTTGGGTCGTGACAGAAATCAAACATAAGCACACTTTGAGTTAATATGATGATGACTACATACTTTTCAATGTCAGTAGAATGAAGACTTAGTAGAATGTTTTTAAGAAAAATTACATTCTCATATATTTTATTTACTGCAAGTGAAAGCTTTTAAATTAGGCTTTAGATTTAAGGCCAACGATCACAATCAATTTCAAACCTTCCAGCCAACGGTCATAAAGTAAAACCCCATAAAATCTTATAAGGCTTTAAAGACTTATGGAACACTAATGAATAGTTTAATTCTAGTTTTGCATTCCAAGAACAATTACAGTTGAGAATAATATCATACTAACATTGCATTATACCTATATGAAGTATTGGAGGCGATCCGAATTGAAAATATAACAAGGTAGCTCAAAAACTCGAGTTCTGAATTAAAGAAATAAAAAAAATAGTTTCATGGATAGGACGCCAGGGGAATTTGCATCACGATCCCTGGAGATGTCCAAATTCCCCAAGCAAAGATAGTCACGTCAGAAAGTTTAAAAAGGGAAGACGCTACTCGTGATAAGACTCGACAACACATCAGAGGCGGAGCTAGGATTTGGAGTGTGTGGGTTCTAAAATTTAAAATAAGACTATAACCTAAAACTAATATACAATATCAAACTGACTAAAGAATCACTACCAGAAAATGGGCCTATGGGAACGGTTATTTTGGCAACGGTTTGTAAACCGTTGCCATAGAGTAGATATAGTAACGGTTGCAACCATTACAATAGAACTTTGGGTGGTATAGCACACTTTAGACATAAAACCGTTGCAATTGTATCAAAACCGTTGCCATAGAGATTTGATTAGCAACAGATTTGTAAACCATCCCAATAGAGATGTATATTGTAACGGGTTTGGCAAAAAAATTTCTATGGGAACGGTTATTCATTTTCCTTGTTTTTTTCGCAAAAATTTACTGGCCCGCCAAGTGACCTGTCATTTTATATTTTTTTAAATAATTTAATAAAGCAAAGAAAATAAACCACACCTCCACCTCCAGTAGTATCGACACATCCCTCTACAGAGCGCACCCGAAACCTTAACCCGAGCTCATTCCCACTCCCTCGCTGCCAAAATGCCACCCAAGTTCGATCCATCTCAGGTGGTCGAGGTTTTCGTCCGAGTTACCGGCGGTGAAGTCGGAGCTGCGAGTTCACTCGCTCCAAAAATCGGTCCACTCGGTCTCTCCCCTAAAAAAATCGGTGAAGACATCGCAAAGGAAACCGCCAAGGACTGGAAAGGTCTCCGAGTCACCGTTAAACTCACCGTCCAAAACCGTCAAGCTAAAGTCTCCGTCGTTCCCTCTGCCGCCGCACTCGTCATCATGGCATTGAAGGAGCGGAAACGTGACCGTAAGAAGACCAAAGACATCAAGCATAACGGTAACATCTCGCTCGATGACGTCATCGAGATCGCTAAGGTGATGAAGCCGAGATCGATGGCGAAGGATTTGACTGGAACAGTGAAGGAGATTTTGGGCACGTGTGTATCAGTTGACTGTACGGTAGATGGATAGGATCCTAACGATTTGCAGCAAGAGATTGATGATGGTGATGTCGAGATTCCTCTCGATTGAATGCTAATTATCAACTGATGGTAATATTATGTTAATTTTATCTTATTTTGTTTTGAGGATGTTATCTTGAGGATCATTTTGATATAACTATGACGAGTAAACTCTGGAATTTTATATTTGGCTATGTAGTCTGGATTTTGTTTTTTCTCGATGAAGTGCTTTAGCATTGCTTCAAAAAAAAGTAGTATCGACACATCCAAACTCCCCTCTATGAACTCTTTTCTTGCCAAACTCCATTAATGGCCAAGTTTCAGATTTACTAAATCTTCTCTTAGTCGAGTTTTAGATTTACTTTGTCACTTTCACTCTCTCTATATCTATGCAAGTCGGTCTTTCCGGCACTTCTCCGAAGGTTTTTCGGTTACAAATCCAATGAAAATTGCTACTGCTGGTTTCATGGAGTATCAACTGGAATTGAATTTGGTGTTATAATGTAATTTTCTTCACTGTTTGAAAGTCCATCATAAAGAAAATGATGGACTTTGTTTTGCTCTGATTTAGAAGAGGTATGCAAATAATACAGAAGAATATACGTAAGAAATGAGTATAAAAAATAGTAGTATTCTTTTATTTTCTTGAAGTAAAATATAGTCTTTAGTATTAGGTTGATAAGTGATTTAGAGTCTTAAATTTGTGCGTTTCTACAGATTTTTTGGATTAATTTTGATTAGTATTAATTAGCATTTTATTTCATGGGGTGAAAGTCTTGTTAATGTAGAAAGATAGTAGTAGTAGTTTTACATGAAGCAGCTTCTCATATTTGTGAAAATGACTTGATATTTTTGTGATAATATTGATTTACATGACGCAGCTTCTCATAGTAGTAGTAGTTTTACATAAAGTAGTAGTTTTACATGAAGCGGCTTCTCATATTTGTGAAAAGGACTTGATATTTTTGTGATAATATTGGTTTTACATGAAACAGCTTCGCATAGTAGTAGTAGTTTTACATGAAGTAGTAGTTTTACACAAAGTTCTTTTACAGATTGATGTTTGAGCAGACAGTAGGCAGCACAACATTATAAATGATTCTTTCTTCTGAGAACTATAAAAATCTTTCATCTTGTTTCTTAGAAGTTATGGGGTGGAAAAGAGATACTTAATAAGTGATTTGTTTGAATCTTTTTTTTTCTGATGTTATTCCTGTTTGGTTTGTTACCCAGGTTCTTGTAAATATTTTTACTTCTCTATATCCTAATGTTCCACAACTGAATCAGTAAAATATTTTTTGCTCTTAACCTTGAACATTCTTAAATGGAGCTATGTTATTTATTTAGGTTTACATCTGATAAATTCAGTACTAAAATGACCTTTAGCATGAAGAAGACTGGTGAACTGAATTGGTACTCCACAATTGTGGTATAGATAATAGTGACCAATTTGTTAGTCTGTTAAGTTGTGTGCTATTTCTCTAAGCTTCTTTGATTTGAGTTCCTTAATGTGTTGCTTTTCCTGGTTATGGTTCTTTAAGTGGTTTTATTAAACTCCATGGACGATGTTTGTAATTAGTGTCTAAATGTGATCAAGTGCTTTTCAACATGAGGAGATGCTTAAAATGTTGTTATGTTTGTAATTTGGATTTTATCTCATACAGCTAGTAACTTTATTTCCTTCGTGAAGGTGGACTAATGAACAAACATGGACTCCTGCCGAAATAAATCAATTGCTGGTATATATGCCCCTACTTCTGATTTTCCCCTAAGCTATTCTAATTACCATTGCTATTCCATCTCTCTGATCCTATTTGATTGAAATACTTTAGTTCAAAATCTCGTATCTTTGTCTATTTAGGAGAAAACTGAAAAAGAAGGCAATCTTGAGTTGCCATAATAATCATCCAGTTAGCTCAAGTGATGTGACATGCTATTTTAGGAGATGATGAATAACACTCCTATCTTCAATTTAATGCTCTGAGCGGAAAATAGAACAGAAGGAAAGCTATCACCAACTTGCTGCCTGCTTATATTTGGTTGCTCAGGAAGTAGTGAAAGAGTTAATACATTGCAATACATGATAGTTTGGGTTGCTCGGCCTATTGTTGCACTCTTGTCAACTAAAACCTCAAGTGTTGTAAATTTGCCCTGGGAACATCAGATTTTGTAGGCATTATGCACAACTTTGCTGGCATAGTAGAAGACTGAGAAGTTCAATGCAAGTCCAAGTCTAATTGGGTGAGTAGGAGCAAGATCTGCGCTAGCTGTGGCAGTAGCAGCCTACAAAAATAGAGCAATAAGCTTAATTAAGAGGCATAGTAGAAGACTGAGAAGTTCAATGCAAGTCCAAGTCTAATTGGGTGAGTAGGAGCAAGATCTGCGCTAGCTGTGGCAGTAGCAGCCTACAAAAATAGAGCAATAAGCTTAATTAAGAAGAAGACAAACAACTAAATAAATAAAAAAAATAATTTGTCATCATAAACAACATGGAAACAAATGCTGCAGCTAGACATAAAAGAAGATTGAGCCAAATAAGATAGCGTGGAACAAAAGAAACCTCATAAGCTTTAAGTGACTGATCAGCTGCCTCTTTACGATCATTCCATGATTTGAACTCTGCTAAATAGCGATAGTAATCTCCCTTCCTGGAGATGAAGTAAAAGGATGTAAACTTGTAATTTCAGCAATCAATTTTTGGGGACAAAAACAAAAGAAAGACAATAAAGTTAATGTTTGGCATGTATTTTGAACGGCAAATTGACCTGCAATTGAAAGACGACTACTGCAGTTTCAAGTGAAACAAGGTTGTTGAACCTTTCATATGTGACTGTCCAGTGATTGCTTTGTGATTTTTCTTCAGTTATTTCAGTTGTGTTATTCCTACAGTTGTAAATTCTGCATTTTGTGAGCTGTTGTCCAGTTCAAAAGCTGCTGATAACTCCACTATTTTGAGTTTTGAGTGTGATTTCTACACTATTTTGCTGCCAGTTTCTGCTGAAAACTTCTGTACATTTGCCTGCTTAATTCTTCAGCTATGTACTTCTTATTTTGCACTAAGTGTGGCAACAGTTGTTTCTTTTTATTAAAATGAATTGTTTGGTTGGTTGCTTTGAGAAAATTACTTGGCTGTAAATGTTTGGCATGCNAGTTCTTTTTATTAAATGAATGTTGTTGGTTGACTTAGAGAAAAGTACTGACTAGTAAATGTTTGGCATGCATTTTGAAGGCAAATTGACCTACAATTGAGGAAGCAACTGCAGTTTCAAATGAAACAAGATTGTTGAACCCAGATTTGCGACTTGATCCTGATATGTTAAGGTTCAGTGCACGTTCACCTGTAGAAGCTTTCTGTACACACCAAGTTGTTGTTCAAGTAAACAGTCGACCATCTGCTGGTAGTAACAATCAAGGTCAATACGTACCAAATGTTATACATCTTCTTCTATTTCTTCTTCTTCTCCTCCTTCCTTGGTTGGGATTTTGCTTTAGTTCAAGGCAGAGTGGATATGGTAATATCCTTTTTTCTTCCTATAGATGTGCCTATTTCGGTATTAGAATTTGTTTTTAGAATCCAATGTGTAAACTGATGTCATATGTGAACCTCCTGGACTTGATCTGCTTCCCAGTTTCTGTGTTCACTAAGAAAATTTAATCCCACAAACTCCATCTTTAGATTGCACTAGAAGTTGGTTGGTGAAGTCCTCATTCCATCTTTAAATGAATAGATAAGTGAAATTTTGATTTCTTTCCATCGAAGACCTCTTTTTTAGAGATACTCTTCTTAATGCAAGATGGGCTTAAATTGAGGCCTCATTTCTGCCTAATGCTCTGCTTATTCATTGGCTTATTTTCTTCTTTTCCTCATCTTTTACCCTTTTAACAGAAACATGGTTTGATCATAATTAGATGGGAGAAGTGATGGTTATTTTTATTAATACATTGTCTTTGGGGAGAGGAGGAGAGATTAGAATAGTTAAAAATAAAAGAAGAGAAAGAGTAAGGGATATGTGTGAGAAAGTAATACTTTTTGACTTACAACAACATGAACCAACTTCATCCTTAAATTTCATAAGGAAAAAAAAATAAAATATACCAGTTCAGAAAGTACTATGGTCCTAACTACATTAGCAAACAGTTCATGACTTGGCATCTTATGGCCACTTGGAAGATTTGAACTTCTTTTGTAGTTTCTTTTTGTTTTGCAACTACTATTATTGGTTCTGGAGTTTTCATGTTCTTTTCTTTTTTCATGGCAATTTGAGCTATGAGTATTCTTAGACCGGATTCTCTTGAAGGGTAATAACTTTATTTATTCTCTTTTGTAGGTGGAGTAGATCAAAAAATGGATGATGAAGACAATGAAGAACTAGACCTTACTTGAGAAGAATTTTGAATTGTTTTAGATGAATGTTCTAGGAATCTTTTGTTACCAACATTTTTGAAACTTACTTACTCTCTTGAAATGTACTAAATTTATGCACTCATGGGGTAGAACATTTGCTTTATGGATATTATTTGCTTGATGGATAATTTTATATTATTAATAGTTTCATTTTATGATGTATTTAAATTTTAGTGTTATTATAATTTATTATATATATAAATATTTATTTATAACAGGTGCTATATTTTGGTTTTAACTGAACTAATACAATAGCCTACCAGAACCGTTGCAATAGGACACAAATGGCGTTCCAGTAAATAATGTAAACTGTTGCAATAGGTCCTATAAAGTGTTCCAGAAAGATCTATAAACCGTTCCAAATACATATATAACCGTTATGATAGCTTAAAGAAACCGTTGTTATATCCCACATGACCGTAGCAATAACTTACATAAGTGTTGCTTTAAATAATATTGTAACGGTTTAGAACCGTTGCATAAACAATATAGTAACGGTTTTAAACCGTTCCAATTGATAAAAATAATCATTCCAACAGAAAAAGGGAAAACCGTTGCGATAGACGTATCTATAGTCACGACGATGCAAACCGTTGCAAGAACCGTTCCAATAGACCTATGGGCACGCGAGCTGATGTAACGGGATGTAAACCGTTCCAATATCCCTATGGCAACGGTTTGACAGTCTATGGGAACGGTTTTCCAAGCGTTGCCGTAGACCAATTTTTCAGTAGTGAATGAGTATTGATATTTAATATATATTTAAAAAGTAACGAAAGACAAACACAATATATGAATATAAATATTATCATTTCAATTGCACTCGACGAGTTGTCATGTTTTGAAAACGATCAATGATCGCATCATTAGATACACTTTCAAATACTTCATCCTCTATAAAGCATACTAAACAATCATTCAAAAAGTCATCACCAATCCTGCTTCGCAAATCATTTATTATAAACTTCATTGAAGAAAAAGCCCTTTAAATCGTTGCAGTAGCCACAGGTAATATCAAACTCAGCTTCACAAGCAAATAAACAAGTCCCCATGTCTTGTGAATATTTGTTTTAACCAATGTCTTCGACAGATCACCAAGCCCTTTCAAGTTAGAGAATGCATTGTCCACTTCGCACATAATCAATATAGTTGTCAAGCTCATAACTAAGATTTTCAAGCTTAGAAGCAGTGAACTCATTTGGATAATATGTAGCAAGTTTCATAATCTTGTTTTTATCATAATTCGCAAAAGAATCATCGGGACTCAAACTAGCCATACCAAGAAGCAGAGAAGTATTCACTTCACTAAAACGACTATTAAGCTTCGAAAGTTGCAAATCAATAGCAGCACAAAAAACCTCTACGTATAAATGATGGGAATATGTAACAGTTGAGCTTTTACGCTTCGACTTTCCAAGTGCATACTTCTCATCCATTTTGGGAATTACAATACCATTCTTATCACAAAACGAAGAGACATCTTCTATCAAAGAATTCCATTTAGATTCTCTCATTGCACTAACAATATCTTGATCTTTTTTTTGTAGGGCCATATTAAAATCATATGTAATTGCCAATAGTATTAACATCAAATGTAATATACAAACGAACTCATAAGATCTTATATCTTCCACTAGACTTTTGGCTAATGCTTTCTCCTGATAAGTTGAACCCTCATTTGCAAGAACTCCAAGTATATGAACAATCGATGAGAATAAAGAAATAAAGTTACGCAATGTCTTAAAGTGAAATCCTCAACGGGTATCACCTGGTCTTTGAAGCCCAAGTTCTTTATTTAATCCGCTTCCTGTATGAACTTCACGAAGCACAAATAACTCATCTAATTTTTCCGCTTGATCATCTCTAAGCATCTCCCTACGCTTATAAGAACCTCCAACAACATTCAAAACATTAGCAAGAATGTCAAAAAAATTATTTACATCATGTTGTTTCTTTGCAACAACTACAAGAGTCAATTGCAACTGATGAGCAAAGCAATGTATGCAGTGTGCCGAAGGATTATCTTTCAGAATCAAAGTTTTAAGACCATTGATGTTTCCTTGGATGTTACTAGCTCCATCATACCCTTGTCCCCGTATTAGAGATGAACTCAATGAATGTTGTAAAAGCAAAGAATATATTTCTTTTTGTAATGCATGTGCAGTTGTACCTTTAACATGAACAAGACCAAGGTAAATCGCT